GTAGTTTTGATTTGCATTTCTCTGATGACTATGGACTTTGAGCATTTCTTTAAGTACTTCTCCACCATTAGAGATTCCTCTGTTGAGAATTCCCTGTTTAGCTCTGTATTCCTTTTTGTTGTTGTTGTTGTTGTTGTTCTCAGCTTGATTTCTCTTTTTTTATTAATGTTAATTTTTATTATTTTTTCACAATTTATTCATTGCATATCCCAATTGAAGCTCCTTCGTTCAACTCCCCCCCCCAATGCCACCCTCCGTCCCTCTTCCCCCTATCCCCTTCCCCTAGTCCACTGAAAGTGGGAGTCCTCCACCACTGTTCTCTGCCCTTAGCTTGTTAAGTCTCATCAGTCTGCCTGGATACCATTCTTAATTGGATAATTTGCTTTGCTGCTGTTTAATTTCTTGAGTTCTTTATATATTCTACATGTTTGCCCTTTGTCAGATGTAGGATTGGTGAAGATCTTTTCCTAATCAGTAGACTGTCCTTTCATTCTATTGATAGTGTACTTTGCTTTACAGAGCTTTTCAGTTTCAAAAGGTCCCATTTATTAATTGTAGATCTTAGAGCCTGAACGGTTGTTGTGCTGTTCAGGAAGATGTCTCCTGTGCTGATGAGTTCAAGGCTCTTACAGACTTTGTCCTCTAGCAGATTTAGTGTGTCTGGTTTTATGTTGTGATCTTTGATCCACTTGGACTTGAGTTTTATGCAGGGCAATAAATATGGGTCTATTTGCATTTTCACTTGTAGACATCTAGTTATACCAGTACTAGTTGTCGAAGATGCTGTCTTTTTTCCATTCTATGATTCTGGTTCCTTTGTCAAAAATCAGATGTACATGGGTGTGTGTGTTTGTTTCTTGGTCTTCAATTTGATTTCATTGATCCACCAACCTATTTCTATGTCTGCTCCATGCAGTTTTTATTACTATTGCTCTGTAGTTTTGCTTGAGGTCAGGTATGGAGATAACTCCAGAAGTTCTATCATTATATATGATGGTTTTCACTATTCGTTTTTTTGTTGTTGTTTCCATATGAAGTTTAGAATTGCTATTGCAAGGTCTGTGAAAAATTGTGTTGGTATTTTGATGGACATTGCATTGAACCTGTAGATTGCCTTTAGTAAGAGTCCCATTTTTAATATGTTAATCCCACCAATCCATGTGCATGGATGTTCTTTTAATCTTCTGGTATCATCTTCAGGTTCTTTCTTCAGAGACTTGAAGTTCTTGTAATGCAGGTCTTTCACTTCCTTGGTTAGAGTTACCCCTAGATACTTTATACTTTTTGTTGCTATTGTAAAGGGTGTAGTTTCCTTAATTTCTTTCTCAACTTGTTTATCATTTGTATATAAGAGGGTTCCTGATGTTTTTTTAAATTAATCTTGCTGAAGAAGTTTATCAGCTAAAGGAGTTCTCTGGTGTTATTTTGGGGGCTGCTTATGTATACTATCATATCATCTGCAAATAGAGATATTTTAACATCTCGGTCTCCGTTTGGATCCCTTTGATCTCCTGGGACTCAGATTTGTCTGGGCTCTGCATTCTTAGATCTGGGATCTGTATGATTTTATTGTCCACCTGGTCCCACTGTGGTCTCCACAGTGAGACCAGCAGAACCATGATTTGGAGGTTGGGATGCTGTCCCAGGAATCCAGATGCTGCCCTCAGAAGTGTGGGAGGGATCCAATGTCTGGCTTTTGCAGCGGATGGTCCCTGGACCTGGTGCTTACACTCTCTTGAGTAAGCAAAAATGGCGGGGGCTCACAGTTTGTGACCCCTGGGCCCAGGAGATGGCCATGCGGGGTTGCAGGAAGGAGTCCTGGATCTGATCATCCCCAACTCCTGGGATGTCCCCTCCAGTCCTGGAAGCACCAAAGTTGGTGTTTTGGATCCAGCTGCCTGTTTACTCACTGATTTTCCCATGTCTGATCTTCTGCCCCTTAGATACGGTACACACTGGCTGCGCCATCTTGGAAACTCCGCAAGTTATATCTTATAATATTTGATCAAGGGAACAGAGCCAAGAGTATTCTTCCCAGGCCCTTGCCTGCTCACTGAGTTCATGTAGCTATGGCAGCACATTCCTTTCGTGCTTTGCTTTCAAGTGCATTTGCTTGTCATAGTTTACGCAATTCTTTCCAGAAGGATACCTTGTGGGAAGAGCATTCTGCATGCTAACCCATTCACTGTTCAAAATAATTTCAAAGCTTTCCTACACAGGCTCCTAGAGTTCCCCTTTTTATTTTGCAGAAGGTTAGAGAAATAACCATATGTATAAACAGGTGTAATTAGATTTAGCACTAAATTTTGCATGCAATGAACAATTATTGGTAGCCACATACTAACAATACTAATAATACTAATAATTCTTCCACAAAAGGCATCATCCATGTGAGCCAAAAATTTTATGCATGCATACAAGACACAATTGATCTTGTATGTTATAAGTGAAATCTGAGATATTAAAGGAGTACATGTCAGGAAGTTATCTTTTTAGCAGTAAATAATCAAATGCGACTTGATTTTAGATGATTGCCCCTCTTCTTTTCTTTTCTTTGTAACTAAATAGTAAGATTTTACCTATTATTGTCTCAGTAATGTTATTTTTTAAAAACAAAATGGATTTTAATGAGATTAAAAAAATCACATTTAAGTTGGATGGAAAAACCAACAGAAGGAAAAAAGGTCCAAGAGAATGCAAATAAGAAATTAAGACCCACTCGTTCATGAATTCAGGATTCCCTTAACCAAACTTAAAGGTATAAAATACACACAGAGGATATGGTGCAGACCCATGTAAGATCCGTGCTTGCTGCTTCAGTCTCTGTGAGTTCATAGGAGCTTTTCTTGTTTGATTTGAAGGGTCTTGTTCTGGACTCTTGCATGCACTACAGCTCCCACATTTCTTCCACCTCCATACCAAAAGATACAAGAACACAGGATAAAAGGAGGGGACGAGGGAGGGGCTAGAGTTGGGAAACAAAGTGACTAAGTTGTAATAACTTAAAAAAAAAGTTCTGGAGAGGACAGGAACTCCACAAGGAGAGCAACAGAACCAAAAAAATCTGAGCACAGGGGTCTTTCCTGAGACTGATACTCCAACCAAGGACTATGCATGGAGATAACCTAAGTACCCTGCACAGATGTAGCCCATGGCAATTCAGTATCCAAGTGGGTTCCATTGTAATAGGAACAGGGACTGTCTCTGATATGAACTGATTGGCTTGCTTATTAATTACCTCCCCCTGAGGGGGAAGCAATATTACCAGGCCACAGAAGAAGACAATGCAGCCACTCCTGATGAGATCTAATTGACTAGGATCAGAAGGAAGGAAAAAAAACCTCCCCTATCAGTGGACTTAGGGAGAGGCAAGCATGCAGAGGGTGGAGAAAGGGAGGGATTGGGATGGGAGGAGGGAGAGAACCACAGGGGGGATACAAAATGAATAAAGAGCAATTAATAAAGAATTAAAAAAAAAGAAATGTAAAAAAAAAGTTCTACGTAGACACCAGCTCTACTTCTCAATTTTCAATGAGTTGTGTAGGTGTTGTCTTCAACAGTGATGCCTTCCTGACAGTTTGTGGAGAGCAATCTATTGACTCAGCCACAGCCTGTGTTGTTGAGTAATGCCATGAATGCCCTTCATGTTGGCCAAATGCCCTTCGGCCAACAACTCAATTGGATTTAACCTAGTGACAGTGCTGGAAGCTTCACTTGGTGACAAGAGATGGCCAACTGAAACTCTTTCCTTCATTATGTGGAGATTTCATTAGGACTGCTTTCATGCACTTCAGGATACTTTCACTGCACTAGATTTCCTACTGCCCCTTAAATACTCCTCAATTTTAGCTGCCTCTACCCAGATTTCCTCACCTAGCCACAATTCCCCTCCAATACCCCAAGTGATTCTTCCATTCCTATGCCATGCTTGGCTCCAGTCCACCCATAAAATCTATTGTACTTTCTCCTCCCAGGGCTATCTATGTGCTCACTTCCCTATTCCTTTCCTCTATTCTAACTTCTTTGGGTCTACAGATTGTAACTTTGTTATCATTGATTTAATAGCTAATATTCATATAAGTGAATACATAGCACATTTGTTATTCTGGGTTTGGGCTACCTTAAAAAAGATGATTTTCCCTAGTTCCATCCATTTACCTGAAAATTTAGTGTCATTTTGTTGAAGAGCTTAGTAATACTCCGTTATATAAATTTACATTTCTTTAAAATTTAATTTATTTTTTATTGATTACAGTGTGTTCACTTTGTATTCCAGCTATAGCCCCTCCATCATCCCCTCCCAATCCCACCGTCCCTCCCTGTTCTCCTTCCATTCCCCTCCCCAAGACCACTGATAGGGGAAGTCCTCCTCCCCTTCCATTTGACCCTAGCCTATCAGGTCTCCTCTGTGGCCTGGTGCGGCTGCTAGCTTTTCAGGAGGAGGTGATCAAAGAACCAGGCACTGAGTTCATGTCAGAGACAGTCCCTGTTTCCATTACTAGGGAACTCACTTAGACACTTATCTATTCTTTTGTTAAGGAATTTTGGTTACTTCCATTTTCTGGCTGTTATGAATATAACAACAGTGAACATGTTTGATCAAGTGTCCTTGTGGTAGAATGAAGCAACCGTTTGGTATATGCTCAATACTTGTATAGGTGTGTATAAAGAGAGATTGATTTTTGTCATTCTGAGCAAGTGCCACACTTATTTCCATAGCAGCTGTACAAGTATACTTTGCTGAGGAGAGAACAGTACTATCTCACTGAAGAATCTGCTTAAACAAGTTATATCACTAGGAAATATTGGAGGCACCAATACAAATATTAAAAGATACACTGAATAATAAAAGATAGCCTGTGATGAATACATTTTAATTTATATGTTGATATTGGGACATATTACTAAATAAGATTAACTTTTATATTTAAAATACATAATTTATTCACTTGAATGCAAAGGTTAAATTTTTTGACTTACATGTTTTTCTCTCCTTTTAGGCTGTACTTTGGAGGTATAAATTTTCTCAACTTAAAGGCTCATCAGATGACGGCAAAAGCAAAATCAAATTTTTGTTTCAGAATCCAGATACTAAGCAGATTGAAGCAAAGGTAAAAACAAGAAACCCATCACGTAATACATCTCCAAGTTCATCAGTGCCACTAAGACACAATGAGGAGAAAGTTTAGGACCAATTAACACAAATGTTCTTTCTTACTTTGAAATAGCCCAGTGAATATCAAATATTTTTACTTTAAGGCTATAGCAACAGATTTTCAGTGAAAGGCATCATTGCAGATAAATTACACAATGAACTGATTCCATCTTCCGATACCTTCAATTTCTTTTTCTTAGTCTTGTATGAACTACAATTGTATGGGACTAAAACAACATGCTAAGAGTTGAGAGGGTCACATAAAAATTTCTTCATTAAAATTATTATTTTTAAAAAAGCTAGTTGCTTCATAGTAATCCATTAATCCTTAAATATTATTGCAAATTTCCAAAGAAAATGTTTTTAAACAAATCTCGAGTAATTGCTATGTAATTATGAGTTAAAGAAGATGAATTAGTCGATGCTTTTTCACATTGTTTTATTTAATTTTTGGTATTCTGGAATATGTTAGCTATGTTGTTAATTCAATAGGAAGTTTAAACACTTATAAGTATTTGTCCTTGCAAAAATTTAAACTCTAATTTATTTCTATTACCTATTATAAAATCTACAGTAAAACTGTGAGTTTAAATAAATCATCAGAATACTTTTCTTCAGGAGTGGTATAGCTGGATCTTGAGGATGCACTATTCCTAATTGTCTGAGAAAATAACAGATTGATTTCCAAAGTGGTTGTACAAGTTTACATTCCCACCAACAGTGGAGGGGGTTCCCCGTTCTCCACATCCTCTCTAGCACCTGTTGGCACCTGAGTTTTTGATCTTAGCCATTCTGATTGGTATAAGGTGAAATCTCAGGGTCTTTTTTAATTGCATTTCCCTTATGACTAAGGACGTTGAGCATTTCTTTAAGTGTTTCTCTGCCATTCTATATTCCTCTACAGAGAATTCTGTTTAGTTCTGTACCCCACTTTTTAATTGGATTACTTGGTTTGTTGGAGTTTAACTCCTTGAATTCTTTATATATTCTGAATATTAGCCCTATGTCAGATGTAGGGTAGGTGAATATCTCTTCCCAGTCTGCAGGCTGTCTTTTTGTTGTTGTTGACAGTGTCCTTTGCTTTACAGAAGCTTTTTCATTTCATGAGGCCCTATTTTTTGATTGTTGATCTTAGAGCCTCTGCTGTTTGTGTTCAGTTCAGTAAGTTGTTTTCTTTGCCAATGAGGTCAAGACTCTTCCCTACTTTTTCTTCTAACAGGTTTAGTGTGTCTGATTTTATGTTGAGGTGTTTGATCCACTTGAACTTTTGGTTTGTACAAGGTGATAAATATGGATCTATTTGCATTTTTTCACATGTAGACATCCAGTTAGACCAGTCACTTCAGACCAATCTCTTATTTTTATTTCATTTATTATTAGTTTTGTTTTCATTTTTGAGACAAGGTTTTTCTGTGTAGCCTTGGGTGTCCTGGACTTTAGAGACAAAGCTGGCTTCAAACTCATAGTGATATTCCTGCTTCTGAACCCCCTGTGTGAATGCTGTGATTACAGACATGTGCCACCACACCGATCTTTGAAGTGGCTTTTTAAAGTCATTTATTTATTTATTTATTTATTTATTTATTTATTTATTTATTTATT